TTTTAAAGAATATTATTATTAAAAAATTCATAGTGCACTTGTAAAAATGGGGTTTGTGTGTGTGTGGGTGAATCAGATGATCTTGTTTTCTTTCCCTTATTGTTTCTGTTGCTACTTGAAGTGCAATGATTTAACCTTTTTCTTCTTTTGTTAATTTATTACTCAAAGAACTGAGTTCATTCTAATGATAAGCTGTACGAAAAAGATCTTTATTTACATCTCGGTTTCACTTCATCTTTTCTATAGTCTGGTACGTGGGTGTTGAGGTACTTTAGTTTTTTGAAAAACTGGCAATATTTTTGAACTATTTATCAGAGCAAATGGAAAATATGCCAGGCGACGGAAGTTCGGATTTGCAAAGAATCTTTTTTGTTTCTTTTGCCAAATAACGTTTTCCTGTACAGAATTTTTGCTGACGTTGCCTTTGGTACAGAGATGCATCAACGGTAGCTAACTAGCGGTACTTTCTTTCTTTCGTGGGATTTACTATTGCCAAAAATTCAGCGACGTTGAGAGGAAGAGAGAACGTACACCAGAAGAACATTACTTAAGGGCTTGTTGTCGGTTCTGTTACATTTGGGAGACTTGAGCGATTTTAGCAGTGACTTTATCACGTTGTCTCTTACGGCTTGAAATGGAGAAAAAAAAATAAACATTTGAATAATACTTTTAAATGTTGATTATACCACATGATTAAAAACACAAATTGTAATTTTGAGTTTATAGTAAAACAAAAATGAAAATTGAGTTGTTGTGTTGTTCTTTCACAATCTGAAGGGTCTTTTCACACACACTTTAGTTACCTGGGAAACCGATCCCACCAGTCTCACCTGGTCCGGATCAGGTTCATTTTCAGAATTTAAACAGATCAGATTCTGACTTGATGCTTCGAAATACAAAAGTTGATTAAATATGTCAAGGTTGGCGTTCGCAATGCCCCAAATTCTCTGGCTTTTATTCTACATGGTTTGTTCATATGAGTCGGACTCACTGAACCTTTAACCAGGCGGCTAGGCCCTAAACAGTGGATTCATCTCTGTGAGCTTTGTGGACTTATTGTGGATTCTCAGTTCTTAGCACCTTTATGGACACACTGACATTATGGAGGCTGGATCTCAGTGTGAATCCTGCAATCTTACCGTGTCAAAGTTGAGGGAAAGCTGAGTGGCTTCACCACTGTGGCCACGGCTCAGGCCTCACACATCGCGGCCTTGCAGTTATCACCTGAACGCAACCAGGCCAAACCTCCAGGGCCGGATCACAGGAGTTCCAGATCCTGAGGCTGCTTCAGCACAGCCTGATGATCCGTGGGCGCCAGGGGGGGGCAAAGCCTGAAATAATGATTGGGCCACAGCAGGGAATCCATCCCCTGGGGAGGAAGTCTCCACCTCGCCGCTGCAGCCCACGGTCTCTTCCATTCGCCTCTCCGATCACTGTCCTCCAATCTCTCCAACTCCGCTGGTGATCGGATCAAATGACACCAGTCTGTTTGACCCGCTGAGCAGCACCGGGAGGTCTGCTCTCATCTCGTGTCCAATTCCCCTCATTGGGTCCCGGAATCGGCCGTCTCCGCCCGACATCGGCCTCCACACCTGGCTCCGGTCCTCATGCTCCACTCTCATCATCGGCTTCAACTCTGGCTTGTTTGCACAGGCCGGTCCGGATCTGTCCGGGTGGGTGATCTGCAGCCCGTTGTGCTGTTTACACCTCGTGACCGACTGTTTACATCACCTGTCACCCCCTGCTCTTCTTCTGCCACTCTACACAGTCGTGCTTGCCCACGCTGCCACCAGCTCCCCCTGTGGCTGAAGTCCAGTACTGCCCACTCCTCTCAGGGTAACTCTCAGCCTGGACTTTATTTGTGATGAATAAATAAAAAGCTCAGACATGGTCAGATGGAAACATGTCTCTTTCAAACACTTACTAATAAGAATGTCATCATCAATGATTTTATCAGTGAACATAAGCTTGATGTTATTTACTCTTAGACATGTTAAATTGCTCACCAGAAACAGGTATCTCTCCAGATGCACAGCTCCGGTAAAGCCCCTTCTTAAAAATACAAATCTTGATTCCTCTATGCTGAACACCTACACACCCATTTCCAATCTGCCTTTCCTTGGTAAAATTCTGGAAAAGGCCATCTCTAAACAGTTGGATGATTTCCTACAGATGAACCATAAACACAGGCTGGTTTTTAGAAAGGGACACAGCAGCGAAACAACACTGGTGAGAATAATAAATGACCCTAAAGCACTATATTCAGGATTGATGACTGTATCGCATTAAGATCGATCGATTTTGGCGGATAAATCACGTGATGGAATCATGTGAAATATAATCCCCTGAGTCCTATTATTAATATTAAAGTAATCAATTCATTTATTGAATATCATTCTGCAGTCAAATCAACATTATTTAAAATATGAAGGAACTTGCCCAAGTCTACACTATAGTGTTAAAAACCATTCAAGTGTTTATATACTGGTTACACACAGACCAATCCAGTCAGAACATTCAAACATAATTTGGTGCTTATTTTTTTTTATTTTTAAAAGGACAAAAAATATATATATAATAACTAGGATATAGAAAGCAGAGAGGAATGTCATGATAGGAAACAAAAAGCGACAAAAAGAAAAGCTTATAAAGTACATTTACATTTGTACGCTTTAAAAATTCTTTAAAATATGAAGTTTCAATAAATACTTCAATACATTTAGGCATGCGGATATAGTTTTTTGACATGATTTACATTTCATTACAGTATTATCCATAAAATGACTTTAATCTTCATTATTGCACTTATGTTGTGATGGGTTTCGTCCTCAAACCAGCCACATGCATAAGGTCATAAAGGTCAAAATAAAAGATGGAGGGAATCTAGGAGTCACAACTTGGAGTCTACAAAAAGCTCAAAAATAAAAAGCAAACAGCAGTGTGAGGAGGTGAAAGTCAAACTTGTAATCTAATGTTTAATATCAGTAAAGGTGTGTGTGGGTAGAAGAGAAATTACTGTCACTCTGAGTAGGAATGATGTTTTACACTTGGCAACAGTGACTGCGTGTTTCACAAAGTTCAGCATAATGAGAAACGCACTCGTTCTGCTTCATGTCGAGTTAAATGAGAGGATCGATAACCACTTCAGCTCCAGTCAGCAGGCAGTTAGCTTAGCATAAAGACTGGAAACAGATAGAAACTGTTAGCCTGGCTCTATCCAAAAGCAACAAAAAAAATGACACTTACCGGCAAATCAGTAATTTACAAGAAAAAAAAACCTTTGGATATTCTCAGAGATTATAAAGTCACAAATGTGGGAGATTTGTTTGGCGTGATGGATGTGCCCTTAAAGGGATAGTTCACCCAAAAATGAAAATGCACTCATTATCTACTCACCACTATGCCAATGGAGGGGTGGGTGAAGTGTTAGAGTCCAAAAAAACACCAGTTACTTCAATTGTATTGGATTTGGCTGCGACGTTGTTTACCCCTGAAACTCCTAAAGTATTCTGTGGACTCTTCACCCCGCCCTCCATCAGCATAGCAGTGAGTAAATGATAAGTGAAATTTTCTTTTTGGGTGAACTATCCCTTAAACCCTCGACTAGAGTGAGGAAAAACTACTAAACCAACAATCCTGTTAGGAGGAACAAAAATGTAGACACGTAAGAGAGAGTCACATGTGAGGGATCCCTCCCGCAGGACGGAAAAAAAGTGCAATAAATGTAGCATGTAACGCTCTCTTTATCCCCTCAACCTTCGCCTGCCACAACCCTCATGTAAATCTGAATTTCGGTTCAGCCTGATTCTGGGCTTAAATCAGCAGCATTTCCCTACAGTCAAATCTAATTGCAAAATAATTTGTTAAGGACATCCACTGCAGAGGGTTTGTTAAAAAAAAGCTAATTAAATATTTTCTCTCTCATCTATTTCTGACTTCATCATCCGACAGAATATCCAGTTTTTTCAGCGTAAATGCCAGAAAATATATTTCTTTCTGTCACAACATGACACCTCAGCTCTGTGATATTTAGTAATAAATAGTTTTTACAGCTCTCATACGTCATTGTAGAAATAGGTTTCCATAACGACGTGTAAAAGACCTGACACGACATGAGGTGAGGTACAGCTTCTGTCATTACACCCGTCAGAATTTGTCAGTGTGTTTCTCTGTCAGTATTTGGTGAATGGCTGTTTGTAAATGTATCGAAAAGTAAATACACTACAAGGCCACAACTTACATCATCTATTACAATTAATAAAAGGTAAACAATAGTATTTGTTGCATTTGACACAGTCCAACAACAGGATGTTAATTTGTGAGTTTCAGAGGATCTTTGGATTTGTTTATGCTTCTCATTTAACTCTGAGCAAGAAAGAGAATAAATGTGTTTATTTCCCTAAATGTCAAACGATTTCTTTAAATGAAGCCCTGCTGCTCAGTGCCTATTAACTACAGGAACATGTGTTTTTCAGCTGTAGACAGGTTTGACACAGATCATACATAATAAGAGACTGGTTGGTATAAAAAAAAAAAAACCACACACACGAAAAACAACTCCATGACAAAAACAAACCTGAAAAAAAAAAAACAAAGGCAGTGGAAACAGAGAGAGACTCTCGGGTAAATAAAACGACAGTTAAAAAGACAAAGGAAATAAAGGTAAACAACACGTGTGATCCCGATAATGTTGGGTGTGGCGAGCAGGAAGCTGCGTCAGCTCCGATCTCTGACTTGACGACACGCTCCAGTTTGTTTTTAATGCTGCTCCGCATCTGGAGTCTGTTATGTACATGTGCGTAAAAGCTTCTTCTTTTTTTTAAGGGCTGGAAGTTGCTTTTCAAAAAATGGTTAACATTCTTTCAAGACTTCATATATGCCTTTTTCAACTAATTGATTTTGTGTATAAAATAGTAAAAAATGTCCGTTACAATTTCCTAAAGCCCAAGGTGACGTTTATAAATGTTTCCTTTTGTCCGACCATTAGTCAGAAACTTAAATATTATACATTTAGGGTATAAAACTCTAAAATGGGTGGGAATGGTTACGTTTGAGAAGCTGAAACCAGAGAAAAAACAATGAATTATTAAATTACTGCCGATCTTCTGTCGAGCGATTTAATTTTCATGATCAGTTACCACCACAGTTTACTTTCTGATGGTTTCCTTTCTGTCAGGTGTTACTTGTATATGAAATAAAGAGTAAATTAACACAGGGTGACCACAGCGGAGCTTGTTATTCATCAGAGGGAATAAATATTACTGCATATCCATTCATCCATTCTTGTGTCAGAATACTGTGTGTGGGCAACTTTAAAAGTTGTTCAAGTTGAATAACGATCTAATATTTCCAACGCTGCTTCAGAAATGATGAATTGAAACGTCTCTGATAAAATATATACTTTTGTCATCTGGTCCCTATTTATATAGCGCTGTGTGGGAGGTAAGCTGGTTATTTGGAGCTTAACCTAATCTCTCTTTTATACTAGAGTTCCATCAGCTACATTATGTATATATTATAGTGTGAAGTCTAGATAATATCCTGGATTCAGTTAGCTCGCTCCAGCTACAGCTTGAGCCCTGCTTTTTTCTCTTTCATGCTTGTTGAGATTTTGTCCGATTTATTTATTCATTAAAAATATAAGGAATATTAGAAGTCCCACTGTGCAATGTAGCAAGTTTCTTTGCTGTGGATATTGGAAACAGGGATGTACTTGTAAAGTAAAGGTCACACGGAATCTCAAAATCCTGTCCTGAGCTATAACCCAGAGAAAGAAATGTGATGCTGTGAATTTAAACCTTAACTTTCTCCGTGAGCTGCGTCTTTGTCACCCTCACGGTCTGAAAACCTCTCAATAAAATGATAGAGATTTAAACAGAGTCCGATATACGTCCTCCAAAACCCCTTCCTCCTGTTGTATCATATATTACTTTGTAAAAGTGAAAATGCTAAAAGAAGTATGGCTTATTCTCCAAATACACCAGTCAGTGCTGGTTCTGGTATTTTAACACCAGGATGATAGAAATGGCCCAAAAACCAAGTTGTGCAACTTTCAGTCATGTAGCTCCACTTCTAATATCAAACTAACGAAGACTTCAACATTTTGGAAAACTCACTTACTCTAGCTGAGACTATTAGAACAAGTGTTCTGCAGAGCTGCTTTCACACGTGAAATGAACTCGTGAGAATCTGGGGTCGGGAACGTGTCCGAGAAGAGTTGCTGCGTTGTTCATGTGTGAAAGACAAACTCTGGAGAAAGTCCGCACCCAGGGCGGACATTCTCCGGAGTTCATGTCTGAAAAGTGAAAGAACTTCCAGAATGTCAAATTATTTCTTCCAGTGAGTGTGAATTGTTGTGTGTCTACATGTTTAGGCGTTTTTTTTTAATGCACTGAAATTTCCTGTGTGTTTGTAATGTAAAAAACATACAGAGAAGTTATTGGTGGAGAGTCTGAATGCTTTGAAAGTGAGAGAAAGGTGAAAATAAAATAGAAAATACTCACTTCTTCAAACAAACCCATCACAGCAAGCTACAGTACAGTACGACTCCGACACGTCGATGAATTCACCGGGAGGTCAGAGGTTGTGTCCTCGCCGAGAACGCCACAGCAGCGACTTAAAAAAAACAACCTTAGTGGTCCGTCTTTTACAAACCACACGCACAAGTATGAAACAAATTGAGCCATTGTCTGATATTACAAAAAAAAGGGGTTTCCTTGTTCAAATTGCACCGAGCTATCACCAGGTGATAAAACTCTGAGGTGTCCCTTTAACTTCAGTCGTTGTACAGTAACTCTTCCTTTTGGCTCCACACATCCATGAAAGAAAGCAGTTTTTAAAAAAAAGGTTCTTCTGATGGACTAGTTTTCCCAGTCAGTGCACGGGAGGCCCTCGTCCTCAGACTCGGACTCTGGTGAAGCCTCTTTGATTCTCCTCAGAGCCTCGTGGATGCTGCGGGTGAGAGCGTCGGCCGAGTGGGGGAAGCTCCTGGCGTGACGCTGCTGCTGCTCCGGCCGGGTGCGAACCTTTCTCAGCCGGACGCCCTGCCTGATCTGAGCCAGGATGTTGTCGCTGTCGTCGTCCGGGTCCGGGGCCAGGACTCGCAGCTCGGCCTTCCTCAGGTGGAAACTGCCGCGTTTGAGAGAAGCCAGCACTTCGTCCATGGGGGAGCTCGCTGCAGACACACACAGAAACAATTTACATGACTAAATAAAACACAATAAACTTTTGCCTAGACAAGGAAATGATGATTTGGTTTTTGTCGCCAGGCAAAAAAATGAGAAGAGGAAAGTATTTGTTTCACTTTGCATTGTGAAAATTAATTTGAAATGTTGAGAATTAAGTTGAACTAAATCAGAGGAGAGATTTTCTTTTGCTTTATTTTACATATCATGAGTGAAGTGAACTTCAATATTGACAATTTTATTTTATTTTCGAAATGCAAATGAAAAACCAATCTCTACTCGTGGCCTGCACACTTCTTAGAAGATGTTGGCTGCTGAAATGAGGAGGGGGAAGAAGAGACTGAGCTTCTATTACATTTTTTAGTACTTTAGTAGTATAGACAGACGTCTGGAGACAAATGTGGAAGTAAAAACTTTGATGCTGAATGTAGAAGTGATGTGATTCTGCCACATTGTAAACTGTTAATCAGCTGCTTGACAAGTATTTGATTTGCTGTCACCAAATCAACCAGGGATATTCGTTTCAATGAAACACCGTCTTTGTTTGATAAACGTCAGCATAGCAAGTTGCCTCCTCACCTCTCCTCCACTGTGAGGAGTCCAGCGAGGCCGTCTTCCTCAGCTTCGTCCTCGCAGTCATCAGCTGGCTGCTGTCAAAGAATCGAGGGCAAAATGGAGCCAGGGGCAGCGAGGAGGATTCTGACTCGTGTTGCAGCACCAGACTGCCTGCTGCAAGGGTCCTGTTCCCGTCCTCGCCCTGCTGCTGCTGCTGCTCTGAGGGAGGAGGCGGCGGAGGGGGCGGGGGAGGCGGAGGTGGAGGAGGWGGGGGAGGTGGTGGAGGACCCGCTGACAGAACAGATGGGGGAGCTGAGAGGGGAGGCAGCGAGAGGAAGGGAGGCGAAGAGGCGAGGCTTTCGAGTTCAACCGTTGGTAGAGACACGGTGTCGTAGCCGCAGGCGTCAGGAGGAGCGGAGAGCTGGGGGAGGTCGGAGATGCAGTCGGTCTGAACGCTGGCTGCCTGCGTGTTCGGCTGCTGCCCCGCCCTCCTCCGACTGTGACCCTGACTCAGACGCAGCCGGCTGGACTTCAGGGTCACCTGGCCTGGGTAACGCTGTGTGGGGAATAAACAGAGTGAGCGGTGATGACGGGACAGAGGAGGCCGGTCGAGTTGAACGTCAGACTGCGGATGTTCT